AAGAAATAGCCCTCCATATAAGCACAACTCCTTTATAAGCACATTTTTTAAAAAAATTACTATGTGCCCAACTGTGTAATTATATGGGAGAATGACTGTAATTATTAATATAATGTTTTTTATATAATGTAATAATCATATTGCAATGTTTTAAGCATTACAAATGTTTTTAATAGATCTCCTTATTGGTTATTCAAATACAAGATTGTTGTATTATAAGTAGTATAATAAGTTATATATATTGTTTTATATAAATTCTAATATGTATAAATAGTTTTAGTTTTTTGCTAATTTATCTACTATATTGTTAAAGATATTATTGTTATGTGCAGTTATTTTTTGAAAATTAACTTCAATTTGATAAGTTTTAATAAGATTTAGTAAAATATATCATATTGGTTAGTAATTGTTTTTTTTTTTTTTGAGTTAAAGTCTCTTTTTATGGGAGTTGATGTTTTTATTCATGTATTTGGACACAGGTGCCTCCAGGAGCTCCCTTACATTAGAGGTTACAACTAGCCACACATGCATTTTTGGTACCTAATTTAAGTAGTCCACCTATACATTACTATACTGGTTCTATACTAGGTGCTATACCTGCAATCCAACTACAGGTCTTGCCTATTTAAACCCTCTGTATATGTAGTCCACCATGTCTCACAGAGATATCTTCAAGGCTACATCCATCCAAAGTACCTGATGTCTTCAAGTACCCTTAGGACTAGTTTATCCTCAACAGGAAACTTACTAGAACCTTCTATATCCTACATACAGCTGATCTAGTTTTATGCAATATGCTATAGTTACTGTATCTAACACTTGCAGTCATAGAGGTTACCTGTTTAACTGCTATGTTATACTATTTCTACCCTTGTAAAGTTTACTAGAACCTCAGTATCTATCATCACAATGTCTTCTCCATCATCTCTTACTAACTACTACTCAGGTCCAACAGAACTTCCCTGACTTTTAATTCAGATAGCCTAGTATGGTATACTTATATATCTTTTTTCTTCAGCGATTCTGATGGCCTGGTTGGTCATATGCTCCTCTACACATCTTGATATATGGTTTATCTGCCTATCCCTTTGAAAGTGTTTCATAGGCTTCTATCAGTCTGATCATACTGTCGAAAATCATGCTACCTTTTTACTCAAAAATTTCCAAATAAGCTTCTAACTCTTCAGTTTTTAGTTTACTGTACCTGATAGTCTTATCATGGGTTTGTACCAAAGTCTTATACGATACTGGTTATTAACATTCCTCTATATACATATAATATTATACTTGGCATAGATGCCCTAAGCTCCCATTCGAGATGGTGTGACTTAAGGCTACAGATACACAAATTCAACTAATCATCAAGAGACAGTTTGTTATAACACAGGTTAATTTCCAAATTTTATCATAGATGAAATTTGAACCTTAGTTCTACTACTTGGAAGATGACAACTCAACTACTACACTAGAATCACCATCCTCATTGGTCAGTAATTGTAAAAATATTGTTTGTTTAATATTGATAATAATTTCAGAAGTTTGTTATATTTAGATATTATAGATTAGAAGTCTAACCTAGCTAGATCTAAAACAGATACTAATTGCAAATAAAATAGCAATAAAAATTGATTGCTACTTAAAAACAGTTTTGTAGTATATAAGAAGAAATAGATTTGTATAAATAAAGAATTTTAGTATAATTAAGTTTAATAAAAAGAATAGTAATAAATTTATTAAATAGAACTTTAAAAGTTGAATATAAGATATTAAATAGAATAGTAACTTATGTATTAATAGTTAGATTATATTGATAGATAATATCTGTAAGAAACTTAAATTAGGTTCTGATCAAAGTTTTAATAAAATATTTAAAACTCTATTTAAGACTGTTTTTTTTAGTTATAAATTTAATAACTTTATTTGGTACAAAATTAATAAGATGAAGCATAATAAATTCAAAATTTTGTTAAGATAATAGTGTATTAAAATTAGTGAATAGTTTTATTTTAGCAGTAATAGAAAATTTTTTAGATTAATCGAAAAGGTTTTCTTGTGTTTATTATAAAATTTTGAGTTTGTTTTGTTTTATAACTTTTTTCTTTTTGAGAAATTGAAGAAATTGTTTAAAATTTTGAGTTTTTTCTTCTTTATAAATAAGAGTAAATTTAGTTATATATTGCTGTTAATTAAGAGGTTGGGTTTAAGTTGCAAATTTTAATTTAAGATTTAGAATACAGATAGGATAAGCAGAAAATCTATAAAAATTTTGGTAAAAGAATTAAATAAATATTTATCATTACTGAAAAAAATACATGAAATATTAAATTTGTGATAAACAATACAGATATAAGTATATTGTATATAAACTTTAATAGCTACAGTATTGGGTTCAAGATTTGTCATAGTAGAGGAAGTAGCTTTAAATGAGCTATCATAATTAAAAGAAAATAATACAATTTTAGTAACAAGTAATTAAAAAATAATATCTTTGGTTGTCTTAAATTGGTTTGAGATTATGTCTATAGAAATAGCAGAGTTAGAAGTTAAAAGAAGAGGTATTATAGATCTTAAAGAAAGTTGATAATTATAAAAAATAAATAAAGTATAATATGTTTTACAAAGATATCAAATAACAAAAGGTTGATAAGATGTTTTAAAATAGTGAATTTTGTTTTTTTTGTAATATTTAGTTAGATGAACAACAAATTAGATAAGTTTGATTTGTTATAAATTACTTTTTTTAACTATAATGCCAAAATGATCACTATACTTAGATTCAGAAAAGATTAGTATAATTTATAAATTAATGAGAGAGTTATTTTTATAAATATATAAAAAGTTAATTTAGAATATTTCTATAATAAATTATAAATTTTACTTGTGTTCTTTAAATAATATGATATTTAGTTAGTGTGAGTTCTTTAAGATATCTGATATAAATAATGAAAATTGAAATGACTTTTGCTATTTATATCAAATATCTTGAAGAACTCATATTAGTTAATTATAATATATATATTTAATAGTTCTTTCAACTGACCTGAAACAGTTCTAAAATGTTGTTTTTAGAAGTATTTCTTAATGTACTTGAATTACTATATTTATTGATAACCTGATAGGTCTCAAATATTTTAATAATAATATAATAGTTTTGTTACTAATATAATTATTTAACTAATTTAAAACAGACTTATATTAAAATTTAAAAAAACTATAGTAGTGTTTTTATAAAGAACTTCTGGTAATGTTTTTGCTTCTTCTAAACCAAGTTTGTATGCTCTAACACTTATGAACAAATAAACATCATTTATTAAAAAACCAGGTGATTTGTTAAATTCATTATGGGTCTTTAATAATATAAGATAAGTTAAGTATATACAATACATTATTTTCTATATAAAAATTAAATAACATAATGTCTAAAAAAAAAATCAAATAATCTAAGATGAAGATGAAGACAAGTATAAATTAAGATTCAAAAAAATCAGAACAATATTTTTATAAAGTGTATCTGATAATATTTGTTCTCTTTCTAAATCAAGTTCATTAGTTTCAAAGAAATGATAGATCTTAAATAATATTAGATTAGACAACATAAGTAACATTAACATGTTAAACAACTTCAACTAACCTTTTAACTAACCTTGGGTTGTCTTAAAACTACATTTTCAAGAGAACCAAATAACAAACATAACTTTGAACAGTGACATATTAGTATTAAAAACCTTTAATCAATAGCTTTACACAACATTTAATAATGCTTTACTGTAATACCTCACTTTCGTCGAAAGCCATAGTGATAGTGATAAGAGAATATCTCATATTACCTTAAACAATTTTATAGCAGTATACAGTAACTTATCACGTAACAGACGAAATTAGATGGTTAATTTTATTTTTCAAAACCACTGGTTAGAATTAGCCACTTACTATTAATGGTTAATTCTAACCACTGGAACAAGTTATAATTATCCATACAGAAAAGATATTTTAAATTTAAAATATAATTGAAATTTAAAATATATTGATAATATTTCTAATGTCAGTGCATTATATAATTATGTTTTCACGTGGTTGTTGAGCACTTCTGAAATTGTATTTCTTATTCGATATATGAAGTTAACTATGACAAATACACCTGTTCTTAAAGGAATTTCTTAACAGTCCCGGTAGATTTTATGTTTACTTTGCAATTCAGTTAATATCTATTTATTAACATTGTGAGTTGATTTTTGTCTTATAAAAAGCAAAAAGTTTGATGATTTCCTATACATGGAAAATAGCTTACTAAAAAAAGGGCTTGATTATGAATTTGCAATAGTGATCATTTTTATTTAACCATTTAATATTTTTATTTCTTATCAAAATCAAATATTAAAAATACATACTTATGATTTGATCATTATACTTACCATCAAGCAAATAAGAAAAGATGATTAATCTAGAAATTATTGCTTGAAAATTACTAAAAATCGTGGCAGGGTTAACTATACAGAAATAAAATTATACATAAATCAAGTTGAAATAAAAAAGTAATGTAATTTCAGGAATGTTCAAAAGGTCAACTATACAAACCGCAGCTTGATTCACGATAACAATATTTTGAGCTTGAGCCAAGACATCAATCATAAATATTCCCAAGTTTGAATTAGCAGTACCTCTGCAGTATCCAAGTGATGTTGAAGGATTATCCGCGAACCACATGTTCCCATTATGTTTTGACCGAGCCGGATTATTGCCCTCACGGGCAATACCACAGATACCACAAGTGGTTCCTGGAGAACATTGTGGTGCAAGATTTGTTAAGAGTGAACCTGGATCACATAAAGCTTGTGTTCCATGGTACATTTTTAACGGGTTTAATCCAGATTGCTGTTTCGCAATGAGATGTGCATGAACAATTGATTGGGGCATTTGAATTCTTAAAATCCCTTGGATTTTTGCGTTCGGCAGTCCAGCAAGAAATTTTTTCTCGGCATTAACGTAATCCAAATCATTTGGATTAAGTAAAGTTAATTTAGTAGATGTAAGGTTTTGACCATCGAGCCAAAAGCAATTTGGATTACAATAAACGTGGAATTTGGATGGATCTGCAGGGTCTTCGTACGCTTTTCTTCTGCAACCGGTCCGAGCGCAAATACGTACACACGAACGAGCACACGTTCGACTACAGTAACCGTGAATGGTTCCATTCACATCCCGGTATTTTTGTTTTGTGCAATTCGAATTATTGCATTTTCCAACGCTCATGGAACTACTACGTAAATCAATAAAAGCGCACGTTCTTCCACAATATGGATGAACCATACCGCTTGATTCAACATAGACTTTTTTGTTACATGTTGGACGCGAACATACAACATCCATTTTGTTTTAATTACAATGAGATTATTAATTTTATAAGTGCCCTTCCACTAAGAAAGATAATCTTATATACGTGAATATGATCGCTAATGATCGTTATATCAAAGTGCAGTTTGCGACTAATATGTATGGTAATATAATAACCTTTGAGATTATATTTTATGAGCCATCAAGATAGTGAAGAATCTTAAAACAAAAAACCATTTTATTAGACTTTGACTTTTGAACTTTAGTTGCATCATCGTTACATAACCAGGTACGTACGAGCTAGTCGTGATAGTTACTATATTATACGTATAATTAAACAATAATTCAAGTTGTCAGCTAGTTTCGTATAAATGTGTATATTGTCAAGATGAATCACACGATAAAATCTTCAGAGAAATATCAAATTAAAAAAACTATTTCAAAAATTTTAACACTAATAGTTAAATATTTAACTTTTAAAAATCATTGTTCAATTTACAAATTTGAGACTTGCTATTAATTACCACTACGTAGTAGTGGTAATATTTCCAGAGTATAATTTAAAATTAGATAATTTATAGCATGATATATTATTGGCACACTTAAAGTGTTGATGATTGCTAATCAAGATTTGATATAATATTGTCTGACGCTAATAGAGGGACTTTAAGTTGGGAGGTTATGATTTATATGCTAATTAAAGTAGTAAGCGTGCTACACCCTGTATTTTACGGCGAACGTCGTAAAACCAAAAATGTCTTATATCAATGATGGAGCACGTCTTTATTATGAAGTTCTTTTGTATAGGTTCGCTAACTCTAGAGGATAAGGAATCGGCTATGTACCTTCCTTATAATAACAATAATCTTAACATAGTTTTTTTTATACGTAAGTTGTCACATTACCAGTCTTATTATTATTATGTTTGACAAAGAAGGTATCATAGCTATTCAACCAAATTTGATACTTTAAAATTTTTATTTTAATTCTGTGAATTTGCAAAATAAAAATAAAAATTTTATTAAATTAGATTAAAATATTTGTCTTACGTTTTATATACTATTATAGTAGAGCAGCTAATCATTCAATAATTCGATTACAGATCCACTCGTAGCTCGATAATTATATTGTATAAATTCGTATAAATTATAACAAAAAAAAAATTGAATAACATGTAATATTGTTATTTGTGTAATTTATGATCTCTCAAAGTTCTTCACGTTTATTTTCATGTTCTTCTTCATGTAATTTCTCTAGGAATGCATAAAACTCTTCACACAAAATTGCCGTATCTAATGCTTGCTATACAGTATAACAACAAAGATATTAGTAAACATATATATATATAATACTTAGCAATAATCAATACAGGAAATTCTACGAAATGATGGATGGAATCAAATCGCCTTAGAAATGACCAGAATTATGCAGAGCTTTCCGAAATTCTATTTTTAGAATTTACTTGATTATTTTTTTTCCAATAAACTCATCTTAGTACTAGATATCCTAAAGTAAGTATCATTTTCTATAAAGTTAAACCCGCATTTTCAACAATATATGACCAAATAAACTTATTTTACGGTTCAATTTCAGACATTTGACTTTTGAAATCCCTTTTTGATATTTGGTAGACTTTTGGTAAGTCTTATCGATCGAAATTGGGATCAAATATAGTACGTATAAGAATTCTATTAATACAATTGATTATTAACCTATTGCAGTCAGAATATTATCAATTTCGTAGACAACAATCTATTGTAATTACTGGTCATTTCATGGCATTCTAATGTGTTCTGAGACATTTCGTGAAATTCCATATAGTTCTGGGAAGATTATTATACTGACTTCAAAAAATTTAACGGGCGGTAAATTTCCAAATAAATCCCTGAAATCAATAGTTTTGAATATAGAGACCCAATCTGAGGGCGGAAGTATGCATACGCCACTTGCAACATAACAGTTCGCGTGGGATCCTAATGCCTTGTCTTTTATTTCTAAACAAGTACTCGAGTCGTTTTCATATAGTGGGACTAATGATTCCTGAAGGCAAAACTTTGTTTTAGCTACCCTGCATTATTGTAAAAGAAGAGATAATACTCATGAATTCATTCATTAGTTTCAAATGATATTGCAATCCAACTATCCTGATGCAATGTCATAAAGACCATAATAAACTTGCACTTAAGGAAATATTAGGTTTATAATGGAACATGAGTTTATCGTACGTATAATGCCTATTGTAGACCCAATAAAGTAATTCCCACAAATCATATTTGAGTGCCGTCAAAAGTGTACAGTTGGCCATCTATCATCTGATTTTCAATAGATGGCCAACTATATAATTGAAAGCCCGATTACAGGTTTTCTTTTAACGCATTCGCTATATAAGTGACGCTTAGGAAAACCAAATTTACAGCTTCCAAATTTATTATTCAGACTCGATTCCGGTTTTTCTCTGGCGTCACCCACGTTAATTCTATTGTCCTTGGGATTGCTTAAGTCAATTTAAATAGGACAAAAGGCTAACTGCGGTAATCGTTATATGGTAGGAAATGTGTTTATGAAAATATTCGTACATACCAGTCTTTTCCAGAAGAACTGAACATGTACGCGTTATCGGAAAATTTGTCGCAATACTTAAGTCCATATCCTAACGGATAGCCCTCACTTCCGCAATGAAATTTCTTTTCTAAACAATCTGTATAAAAGTTACAAGAGTTTGGTACTGGCATACTACAGTTTACAGTGATAGAATTCTCCGCGTATACAGGAAATTGTATCAAAAAAATTCCAATTATGATTGAAATAAATGTAATCATTTTTAATAAAGAAGTCAAAAAAACTTTATGCTTATTTAAAATTTAGATTGATTTTGTTATTATCGTCTGGAGAGCAAGTACGGCTTAACATTTAAAGATTTGAATTATATTGATCACGGCTTCAGATGATTATATTGTTAAAAAAAATAAATCAAATGAATAAAATTACAAAAATCTAAATAACACAATTGCGTACTTAGAAAGCCCAAGTTATTAAAGTAGATTTAGAGATCTTTTATACATTTTAATGGCTTTGCGACTTTTAGCCCATGTGTGTAAGTACATTGAAGAAAACCTTTTATTGAAACCTTATAATGTTTTTCCTTTTTTTATTCTCCATTTAACATATAAGTCAAGTTTGATTTATGCAGAAAGCCTTACGTAATATTCCTTTCGTGTCACATTATCAACTCAATTATGGAATAAATAGATTTGTATATACACAACCTAATTAGGATATTTTATCAGTCAACGGATACGTCCCTGGCCTGATGCTGTCATATGGGCTAATTTGTTGCAATTGGGCCTCGTATAGGGCACTAAATTTAGTTTAAACCATTTATTCAATTTTTTCGATTGGTCTGACGAATGATTAGAGCGATTGTTTTGATTTATTGAGGGTCCATTCTGCACGAAGGATTTAATGAATACACATCAAACCCATTAGATTATCTTAAATCCATTAGATTATCATACCCTGAACCTACTAAGACATGCCAATTTGTCATTGTATGTAAATTTATAAATTTACATATATATAAAATTTCAATTTTCAAAATGCATCAACTCTTTACAATGATGAAATTTTGAAAAGATATTTGGCATAGATGTAAAGCTGATATAGTTCTATAAAGTTACCAGTTAGATTTAGATTTTTTTAAAATCCTTTAGATAAAAGTTATAGTTATTTAAAAAATTGAAACATTTCATATAACTGTATAGATTTAATGTATCATATTTCATCTTTATTCTAAGATAAATTTTTTTTTTTTTATAATACTAAATTGTAAATTATATTTTATTAACTTTTAGCATTACTATTACATTACATTTGTGTTACTAAATTACTATTTGCTTTAAATATCTAACACGGCATACTAACTATTTTATAATATTTGAGAGTACTTTTATATATACTAGCTTGTATTTTTCTATATTTTTAATTGTAAATTTTTTGTAATTATTGTCTTTCAGATATAAATATCATACTTAAAATTTTTCAAGTAGTTTTTCTAATTAGTGTTCTTGTAAATTTTCTAACACAGATCTATTACAAATCTGTTATCAACTTTATTTAATTTGTATTTCAAATTATAGCCAATAAGCCAACATTTCTAATTAACATCTTATCTAAGATATATTAATATTTCTAATTAAGTTAACATTTTATTTAAAATATACAAGATTTAATATTTAATATTTGTTATTAGTAGAAATTGAATCTTGAACCTTATTACTTAAGATACAACAACTTAATTACTTCATCAAGTTATTACATTCTAACTTATTTAATCTTAATACTTATTAAAAATATGATCTAATTAATAAAATTTTTTATTAGCTAGCTTTTAATTTTGTATATATATTATTTAACATATTTTATTTTAATCTTGTTTTTAAAAAACTTATTTTAAAATCTTATATATATATATTTTTTTTAAATATTAAGGTAAATACTTGTGATCTAGAATTTTATTAATAGTACATTCAGCTAATAGTTGTATTACAACTACAAAGATCAATTATAAAAAAAATATACAACTAATTACTCATACAACTTTAGTTATTGTCTAATTTAAGTAGTCTACCTAAAGATTCTATACTAGTTGTTATACTTGAAACCTGCTTATAAGTTCTTTATTTAAACATTCTAATTTCTGTATTTATCTATCTATCTATATCTATTAATAATCTTGATTGATACTGATGAAAATATATTATAGTTACTAAGTCTTTAATGCAGTTTACTTATATAAGAACTTTTAATATTGTACTAAATTTTTTAGAATCTTCTGTATCATATTTTTATAGTTAATTTAGTAATACTATAGTCAAGACCAACACTTACAGTTAGGCATACCATTAAACTACTATATTTTTATAGAGTTTACTCCAATTTTAGTACTTACTTTATAATATATTTTTAATACTTTGGTATTTAATTTAAGTTTTACCAAGCTCTTAGTTCAGTTAATCCAAAAAGATAAATACAATCAT